AATTTACAATTAGCAAAGTAGTACCAACAACCTTAAGGTGGTATTGGATCTTGATTGGGAGGATAGCTGAATGTAATATATCTAGAAGTAGTGAGAGAAGCAGTGAACATAGTAAAGAGCTATAATAAAAGAATGGCTTTACCAAATATAAAACAAAAAACCAAAAAAAGCTAGCTAAAAGAACCCCCAAAAAGTATGGAAGTAGACAATCTGGTGGTATAAAAATAAAGACAGTCTAAGAAGTAATAGGCACACAATCTATATGGAAGTTTATAATGAAATACAGCAGAGATGCAGATCCCAGATAACTAGATTGTAACAGTAATTAAATGAGGTACTTAACTTCTGTCTAAAGGATCCAGATCTTTGTATCACTATATCAATAGGGAGTACTATAGAAGAATCAGGAATCTAATTTGATGGTATATGATATTAATGCTTGAGAATTGTAAAATAACATCCTGGTTGTAATAGCAGGTCTTATTTCTGGTTAAGATACAAACTAAACCCTTAGAATAACATTTCGAGAATACCAAACTAAAAGCATCAAGAGCACCTACTCAAAAGATACCAATTTGGAAGTAGTACAAGAAGCGAATTAGAAGTAATATGATAAGTAATGAGAGGTAGAAGTTGGCTAATAGATATTGTATAGTAGTATATAAGCAAGATACTATATATATGATAATATAGATTTAGAAACTATTTAGTGATTTAGTAATTGTTCTGGTCAAAAGGGGTGGTTACTAAGAAGATAAAATCTCATATAGCAGGTCATACATAGGTACTAAGTTAATAACTGGATGAGTCTTTTTTGTAAATAATTAGATAGTTGTAAATATATATATGTACATTTGTAACTACAATATCTTAGAGTACTAATAAACAGTAAAGGCAAAACTGCCAAATTAAAAAAAAAAAAAAAAAAATTTTGATTGGCTAATAAAGTATCAGGTGTAGAAATGAAATTTTGAAATTTATTATAACAAAATATTATGTAATTTCTGGAAGTTCCCTAAAATATCAAGTGTAGGTAGATGGAAATAGCCTCTTAAAAGATAAAAATCACCTAATTTATGTCAAGTCTTTGCTAAATTTAAATAAAGTTGCTTGTATTTTAGCTCTGATAAGACTGTCAAAGAGCTAAAAAAAAAATAAAAAATTTTGTTTAAATAAAAAAAAAAAATTATTATTAGTTTATTATAAAACCAAAATAAAAATATATTAAAACTTAATTATACTATAATTATTTCTACTATAACTATATTAAAATTTTTACTATTTAATTTTTTTTAAAAAGTAACTAAATTAAATATAGTCAAACCTCTCTAAGTGTACCTTCTATAAGTGCATACACTCTCTAAATACATGCTCAAGTGCCAGCCCAAATATATACTTGTTCTCTATAAATCATATGCTCTAATTTCTGGAATTGATAATAACTTTTGTTCTACTAGTCTGTTTTGTATGATTTAACTACCAAAATGCTTGTCTCAATGAGATGATTCTAACAAGCCCAAAATCGTTAAAATCTAATCACAGGGTCCAAGATCGTTCAAAATTTGTGTAATTTTAATAGTAATTTTAGAATTACTAAGTAAATTTCTTTAACATTGAATAACTTTTAATATACTGGTCCGTTTTGGATGAATTAACTACCAAAATGTTTGTCTCAGTGAGACGATTCTAACAAGCCCAAATCGCTAAATTCCAATCACGGGATCCCAAGATTGGTAAAAATTTGTATTGTTAGACAATCATTTAATCAAATTGGTTTTTAAATGATTGTTTAACAATACAAATTTTTATCGATCTTGGGATCCCGTGATTAGAATTTAGCGATTTTGGGCTTGTTAGAATCGTCTCACTGAGACAAACATTTTGGTAGTTAATTCATCTAAAACGGACCAGTATATCAAAAGTTATTCGATGTTAAAGAAATTTACTTAGTAATTCTAAAATCACTATTAAAATTACACAAATTTTGAACGATCTTGGGACCCTGTGATTAGATTTTAACGATTTTGGGCTTGTTAGAATCGTCTAATTAAGACAAGCATTTTGGTAGTTAAATCATACAAAACGGACCAGTGAATCAAAAGTTATCATCAATTCCAGAAATTGGAGCATATGTGTACTTTTTTTTATAATTCTCTATATGCATATTATTAAAGTGTGGTTCTAATAGCATGCACTTAGAGAGGTCTGACTGTAATACTTTATATACTTTGTATTTTAATTATAAAAATTATTAATTAAATTATAAATTGAAGAATTTAAATAAATAATTTCCTAGTTAGATTATAGATATAATAGCTAGTGTAGTATCTGAAGCAGACTATTTAAATAAACAACTAAAAATTACATGTGTAGCTAGTTGTATTCTTTTGTAAAAATCAGAGTTTAATAGATAATCTTCTAGTTAGATTGCAGATATAGTGGCTAGTATAAAACCCAGAGCAGACAACTTAAATTAGATGACCAAAAGTTGCACATGTAGCTAGTTGTATTCTTATTATAACTGAAATTAAACTTCTAATAAAAAAATATAGCCAAAGAGATTATAATACTAAAAAATAAAAAATATTAATATCTCAAAATTTTATTAAAGTAACTTCTATATATAACTAACAAAAAATGTTTTTTTTGTAATTTTACTTTAATCTAACTCTAACTCTAACTCTAATACTAATAATAATTTTCATTTTAATATATATTTTATTTGTTAACTATTAATATGTAAAAGAAACATAAAAGCACTATTTAAATTTTTCCAAAAAAACTTTTTGCTATCAAAATTATATAAGGCTATATAAAATTAATTTTTTGGTTCTCATAACATAAAATTTTAAAATTGACTCGGCAACCCGGCTTTTAATTTTATTTTCAAAAAATTTTATATGTAAAAAACATATAAAAAGTTCACCCGGTTAAATAAATATAGTAAAAATTTTTTTCAAAATTTTGTTGAATTTGACCCGGCCGGGTTATGAGAACCAATTAATTAAGTTTGTGTGGCCTAATGTATTTATAGATATAAATTTTTTGAATTTAATTCGCCTAGTACCAAGTACCCCAAAATAGTAGACCAGGAATCTCTATTAATTAAATGCAAATAGCTAAACTGCACTAGTCAAAATTTTATATTTTGACTTTTAGATAAATATTAGTAAAATAATGAATATTTTAATATTTAAATTGTATTTATCTATAATTTTGATTTAGCAGTTAAAACAATAATTAAATATAGAAAAATATATTTATCTAATATTTAAATATTATTAATATTTAAACTAATAGGTATATTTTGGTTAAAAATTAATATTTATTTAAATATAAAAAATATATTATATTTAATTGAATATTTTAACTAATTTGCCCTGTGGTAAAATTATAAATTTTAATCATCTATAATTTATTATCAATTTTTATTATAAATTTTTATTTTAAAATTTTAAAATTAAAATTAGCATAAAGATTAGTTTTAGGATTAGAATTAAAGCTAGTATAGGGTTTTTTAAGGAGCTGAGTATTTTTCTTAATGCATCAAACATAGTTATTTAGTCTAGTTTTTAAGATAGCAAGGGGGCAAATTAGCAATACTCTTAATTGAATTTTATTAAAATTTAAACTAATAGCTATAAATACATAAAAATATTAGTTAAATATTATATTAGTTTTGGTGGCATGCTCTAGTTTATCCAATAAAGACGGGATTATATTCAAAAATAAATTAAATTAAAAATAAATTAGAAAACAGTAGAAAAAAAAAAGAAAATTGAACATACATATCATTATATTTGATCCACATAACCACTAAAGTTGAGACCTGTATAGCCGGCTACGTACTAAGTCAACTACCTTAGCTGCAAAATCAAAAACATTAGTTCAATAAAAAAAAAATTTAAAATATTTTTATTAAGCGAAAGTATTTTATTTATGCACTTCCAAGATTCTTTCTACTAATAAGAAAAAATCGAAATAATCTAAAACATTAATGAAAATAACACAACCAAGAAAATTTTTATAAAGATTTTGTTCTCAAGAGAACAAAATTTTGCTGAGACCTACGTTTACGAGCTTGTAATTTTAAAATATACTCAACTCTGTTTCAAAATTCCTAACTATATTTTGGGCCGCGATTTTTACTTTTGTTTAAAAAATAATTGACATGAACATTTGAAATATTTCAAGTTTATTTCTGTGAAATTGATACAATACTGCAAATACAGAAATAAATAAAATGTTACCGCAAATTACTACTAATACAATAATGTAACTCAAGTTCTCAAAAGCCATTTTCCCAAAAGGAAATAATTAGTCAGTATTATGTTCTTTCGGGAAAATAGCTTTCGGAAATCATACAGTAACCTGATACAATACTGCAATAAGTGCTAGTTTAATCCTTCACACGAAATTATTTACTTTATACCCTGGTCACTATATCAAGATCGCAGGGCATAAATCAGTTATGTCCTGGGCACTATGTGATAAGCGGGACTTTCAGCCCCGCTTATACCCAACTGCCCAGGAAATAACTATTACAAAAAAACTTGAAAGCACTAAACCTCAAAAGAGCAAAACGTTAGTATAAACAGCGAAACTATTATTTTTAAAAAAAAGAAAGAAAAAAAGTTTAATCAATATGTAATAACTGCGAAAATAATATTTGAGAAATTTATTCTTTAATTGTGGCGCATTAGATGGCTACATATGGAAACGATATTCGTATTCGTCCAATAGGAAGTGGGGAGAAATTAGTAAACCCTCGTCGCTGTCGGTGCCGTCTACATACTCGGTATCGACGCTTGTAAGTGGTAAGAAATTGACCCTTTTTATTTCTCTATTATTAATTCTTTTTTTTTTTTGTGCTTTACTAATTTTATTCTTTTGAACCTGTTCGTACATCCGAGTTTTTGAGACTGTACCGCCATTTTTTTCGTCCTGAAACTTGTATTCTAACGTATGTCTACATTCTTTGGAACAACCGTTTGTGAGAGATGTCTACGTTCTTTGTTATCGCAATTTATAGGAAGGTGTCGCCGTTTTTGGAGAGGTGTCCATCATATGTTTTTCATGTTGTTTGTAAGGTGTCTTCGTTCTTCGGTGTCACCACTTTTGAGGAGGTACTTTCGTTCTTCGGTGTTGCCACTTGTGAGAAGATTATTCGTTCTTCGATGCCGCTGGTATTATTTCTAGAATTCTTATTATCGGGTTGTTTGTTGTACGATGACATTTGTTATGTTCGTTCGTTACGCAACTAGAGTTGCAAAACGGCACTACCAGATTAAGCCGATTTGCATCTCTATACGTAGAATAATAAAATAAATAAATAAAATATGCCATTATTTTTTATATTTATATATTATTGTTGTTTATATATCTAAAATAAGTAATAAATTTTTAATAATAAATAAAAAACAAAAATAGTATAAATATCGTATAAATAGCATATAAATTGTAGACAAACGTAGTCACATATAGCTAATGTTTAAATTACGTAGTATTTTTTAAAGTTTTTTTTTGATATTTTGTCCAGGTTAAATATCAGAATCTAGTGCTACCTATTTTACGTAAGTACGTACAAATTTTGTATGCATTTTAAATTTTTTCCTTTTACGACCCGAGTCTCGTATACACACATTTACGATATCCTCAAAAAATTGAATTTTTTCATGCCTAAAAATCTCAATACTTTATTAAACTAAATATATAATAAAAATTATGCTATATACATATAAATAAGAATCGATACTTGAATTAAAAATCTTAAAATTGGTCAGAAAATGCCAAACGGTAATTTTTTCCTAGCAGATTATACAGTTGTTTTATGTTTGTTATGATCGAGTGACATATGTAGCCTTATGACCACTTTTTTTTTCTAGAAAAAAAATATATTTAATAATTTTTAACTCCGAGGTTACATAATTTTGCAAGGCGCAATAAATTAATGCCAATTAAACATAAACTTATGAAGTTTTAGCATATACTTTTTTTTATTTGTATCGCATAAAAAAGTATATGCTCGGATTAGAACCATTTTTCTCCGTCACAAACCATAAATATCATACGAAATAATAAGCGCTTAAGATGACAATTCTTCATATATCGTCATGAAATTGTCTTGGTGTATTCTTTTTGTTGTTATATTTAGCTCGGTATATCTTTTTGTTATTTGCCAAAATGTACCTAGCCCTCGACGTTTACAGGCTAGCACATTAGTTGGTACTAAACTTTATTTCTTTGGTGGAAGCACTTCTTCTACAGGTAGTTCTAATGAAGTTTGGTATCTTGATTTATCGAGTTCATTTAATATTTCTACATCCCCGTGGCATAGTGATGCTGCAATGTCATTAGGATATACCTTTGGTAGCCCTTGCCTTAGTCCTATTGATAATTCTACAGTTTTTTTAATTGGAGGAAGAACATGGATAATTACTACAGGAGATTATTCATATACATCATCAGTATATAAATTTGATTCTAAGACTTCACAATGGACAACACCAACTATTAAAAATTTTAATTCTAGCTTTGCAACTCGTAATGAAATGCAGGCTGTTGTTGACAATAATGGGAAAATTTTTATTTTTGGTGGAACAAATTACAATAGTTCAACAATCATTTTTTATAATGATATGAATATACTTGATATCACTACTATGACTTGGTCAACACCAACTCAGTCTCAGACTGTCTTTGCTTATGTCGACTATACTGCTACATTATTACCAAATGGTCTTATTATTTATATTGGTGGGCGTAGTCGTTCAAGTCCAAGTACAAGTCTAAGTCTTATTAGTATGTCTCAGGTATATGAATTTTATAACTTTAAATATTTATTTTTAAGTTTTGACTTTGATTAATATTAAAATGCAGATTCAAATATTTGACACAAAATCTTACACCTGGTCTACTAAAGTAATGTATACAATTAATATTATTTGTAATAATAATTATATCTAATTTTTTGCAAATATATGTTCTTATTTAGCTTGCTAATGGTCCTACTATCGCATCTCGTGTGCAGCATTCTGCTGTTTTAAGTATGTAATAAAATTGTATTAACAGTTACTATAAATTCTGATTTTTATATCTGATTATTGTTGTTTTAGCCCAGGATAGAAATATTATCATATATGGAGGTTCAACACTTAACGGTACTTCTGGAAAAGTTGATAATGTATTTTCTGATATTGCAGTATTAAATACAAATTCCTGGGTATGGTCTGTTCCAAGTGTTTCTGGAGCATATACTTCACCACCACTCACACGGCATTCTGCTGTATTATATAAAAGCTATATGATACTTGCGTTCGGTAATTAATCTTGTATGTTTATTTGTTTTATTAAACAAATACTAAAATTATTTAATTTTTACATATTCAGGCACAACTTCAGCATCAATTTTATACACAAATAATATCTATATTCTTGACATACAAAATTACACCTGGGTTACTACATTTAACATACCTACAACAACTAGTCAAGCCAGTCAAGCAAATCATAATTCTGATTTATATATTGGAATTGGTATTGGTATAGGTGTAGTTATTTTAGCTGCAGTTTTATTTATTATTGGATTTTGTATTTATAAAAATCGAGGAACTATTGCGACACCAGGAACATATATGAATGATAATGTATATGAAAAACAAATGCCTACGGTTTATGCACCTGGAATACCTCCACCTGACACATATGCGCGAACTTCTATGTATGGAGTTCCAATGCCTAGTTATAATTATCATAGTTCATAGATTACAAGTCCATACTTTTATTTTATGGAAAATCTGACCTCTAGTCTTAATGGTTGCAACTAGGGAAAGCGAAGTGAAAGCCTTTTAAGCTTAATTCTACTAAATTTCAGGAACGTCAGACTTTCGGTTTAATCGGTTCTAATTTAGGTTTAGAATTCAAAAAGTAAATCTAAATTAGGTTCAATTGTTGGACCGAAGTATTGGTTTAAAATATAGTAACTGACTCTCAATATGATTATTAGAATGACTAATTTTCAATAAAAGATTGTTTTTTTTTACCACGTAAAACTGGTAACTGGCATTTAAAATTTCTGTAAGGTTTTAATATAGTTAACTTCTTGATATGTAATCTCCGAATCAATAAAATTGACAATAAAATTGACAATAAAATTCATATTTAGTCGACATTGGTTACTGTATAAACAGAATTAAATTAAAGAGGTAAATTTATTTTCAAATTTCCTGTTTGATAAATTTTAAAATGCAAGTGCTTATATGCTTTGGAGCAAATAATAAAGTTAGAACAGCTGATAGTGTATTAAAAAAACAAGAACCAAAAAAAGCAAAAGTTAAATAATACTTATATAACTTATATTAATTTTTGAATTTAGAAACTTACTATGGCTATAATTTAAGTATCAAAAGTTCGTCGGATTTTTTTTTGTAGTAGAATGTGAGGGTTATTTTCTTTATGATATTGAAGTCCTAAAATTTTAAAACAATTCCAAGCTTATTACCAGCTTTTCTATAGAGTAATGTCGCTCGAATTCGGACACTAATCCAATCATTCGTAAAATCGTTAATTTTGGTTCGGAAGATTGTTCATGATAACACGGGCTAGGTGCTGAGAAAAGGGACCAAATTGACAAAACAAAAGATCTTCGGAAAATCAATTTTTATATTGTAGATCTTATAATGAATCATAAGAAAATGCAAACTTTAAAGAGCAATATAGCAAAATTTTATTAGTACAACTACTTTTGTGTCTTAAATAAGAAATGATCCTAATATTAGTCTAAATTAATTTATGTAAAAAGATAGCTTTTGAAAAAATTGTCAACTTGGTTCCTTTTTCCAGCACTTAGCCCACATGATTGAGAAAGAACGTTATCGTTATCTATATATTGAAAAATGAGAAGAAGGGTCATGTGTCATACGTTTCCTTATTATAAAATGTTCTTAAAAAAAGATCCTTGGTGTGATGAGGTAAATATTGTTCACCTTTCTTCTCTTTGAAATGCATAACTTTAGCATTACAATATTAACTATTATTTTTATATCATTATTAAATTTAAGTTTATCTCAAAAATCGTAAAAAGTAGAATAGAGCTAAACTCAAAGACAACAAAACATCGTACAGATATTTTTTAAATTCTATGATTCACTGAAGCAATCCACAACAATCACACTTGTGAACATAACCGATGGAATTATGAGACGGTGCCGATCATAGATCGTCAATTGTGTTACTATTGATAAATTCAAAACTTCAAATTTGGTAAAAAAAATTTTATTTAATTATATCGTCTTGTAGAATTAAAATAAAAAAGTTTATTGAATTTGGTTTAGTAGTTGTCAATGGGAATTTTCTTTCTTTGAACTTTAGACAAAGATTTCTTGACAACCAATTATTCAAATTCGGTAAAATATTTTTATTTTAATTTTGTGGATTAGTAGAATTAAAATAAAATAAAAAAATGATCGAATTTGAATAGCAGGTTGTCGAGAAATATTCATTAAAAGCTAAAAAGTTTGGCCGCAACTTCTTTTTTTAAAGACATCAAAACTTTGAACGAAGATTATTCGGCACTTATCCAGTCAAATTCGACCAAAATTTTTTTATTTTAATTCTATGAGCATATAGAATTAAAATAAAAAAAAAATTGATCGAATTTGACTAGGTAAGTGCCGATTAATCGTCGTTCAAAGTTTTGATTGCTTTAAAAAAGAACCTTTTTTTAGCATTTAATGAATATTTCTCGACAACCTGCTATTCAAAATCAGATAAATTTTTTTATTTTAGTTCTATGAACCCACAGAATTAAAATAAAAAAAATACATCAAAGTTAGATAGTTGGTTGCTGAGAAATTATCGTTTAAATTTCTAAGAAAGAAAAATTTACCCGATTTTAGTTTTTCTTTAAGTTTTTTTTTTAAAACGTTTTGCAATGATTTCTCAACAACTACTAAGCCAAATTCAATAAACTTCCTTTTATTTTAATTCTAAAATATATACAGTACTATGGAATTAAAATAAAATAATTTTTACTACAAAAGTTTCCATATGTACGTAACACAATTAAATTACCCTACTTTACTGCCCAATATAGATGGGTGACGAAACTCACGTGACCTGACGAACCCTTAAACACGAACAACAAAATAGTTTCGTCGCCCATCTATAACGCCCAATAACAAATGCTGATTAATATTCTGCATTGATTTGATTGAACCTTAATAATCTAAGCTTCGGCATTTTTAACAGCTAAGTTTTTCACGGAATGAACTCAAAACATTAATGGATGACGATTTATTTCGTAATAAATTTAAGGAGCAAACGGATTGGAAAGTACAGGCCAAATGTACTATAGGCAATATGAAAGATAAAGTGAAGGTATTTATTATAAATGATTTTGTTGCTAGAATTAATATAAAATTAAGCTGATACAAATCGATTATTATTGTTTTTGTCTATTAGAATGAAGGAACACCAGTGCATCAACGTCTTTTTGAGAAATTGTGCGAGATAGATATTAATGACTTAACATGTGATGATCTTTTGTTGAATGGTGTAATTGATCTTGGCTCTGATCAATTTCAATTATCTGAGAATGACTTTAATTTACTTGTGGAGAAAAAGCAGGGATAAGAAGATTAAGTAAAAGTGCTTCAATAAAAAAATATTTGTGCTAACTTTGTTGGAAGAAGAGATGAATTTCAAGAAATATACGAATTGGTAGTAGCTCAAGATGTGAATTTAGTTCATTATTGCTGGGTTGAACAAGAAAGTGACAGAGAACGGATTGTAAGTAATGTCTCATGCAGTTGATAAAATCAAATTCCCTATGTCGAGTTTTAGAGGCTCTGAGAACTCGCTTGTGGAAGTAGTGGCTCAATTAATCGAAGTGGCCACATACAGTATCAATTACCAATTAATAGGGAAGTTGAGGTAACAAGAAATGAACGTCAAAGCGTGACTAGTAAAATGGACTGAAATACGACTTTGACTTCCTTGAAAATCCAAAATAATCGCAATCTTGGACCTGAAGGAGGGACTGAAATTGTATACGCAAAAAGTGGTAAATGGAATTGTAATGAAGATAAAATATTTGAAGGTTACAATAAATTAATGAGATTTTGTATAGATGGTTATAAGGGGATTTCGAAAAAGCATGTGAAAGATGTTCTACGAAAAAATTATATTGCTTTCGGAATTAATATTGCAGGTAAATTCATGAGATATATCTATTTACTCAAATTGGTTTAGTAATTCATGAAAATATCATTAGGAGAAAATATAATAGTTCACGGATTAATCAAAGAAAATGGGGTAAAATATTATCTTCCAATTGCTGAGCGTTAGAAGAATTTGTTCATGTTTTAATGACCATATGAGTATAATTTTGTTTTAAAACTTATCAAAAATTAGTAATTTACTAATTAGAAAAAATTAATTTGCAGAATGGTTTAATCGCAAATTTACAATGTCCGTCTATACTAAATAAGTCTTTGATATCATTTATTCTATACTATTGACAAGTTTGGTATATTGATCTAAAAGGCAATTTTACCCTAGCGCATATTTTTAGAGAAATAGCATCAATTTCTTATCATATATAATAAATTTTCCAAAAAAATAACGAAAATAATGTGTACAAATTCAAATTCTATTTATTAATATATATTAAATTTTTACATTGATAATTAAATACAAAATGTATAAGTTTTAAAATATTAAATTAATAGAAGACATTAACTTAAGAGTCTAAAAATGAAATTCTTTTCCAATTATTAACATATAATTTGATTAATTTTACATCAATTTTTTGGCAATTAGAAAGTGCTAAACTACGATTTGATGATTTATGTGTTTCAAATAAGGGTTCATGTCTTTCACTCTTATCCGATGATTCGCTCATAACCTTTTCAAAGAATCCTGATAATGCGGCTACTGGATTTTCATCCACATTTTGATATTCGGGAGTATTTAATAATGTATTCAACCATTCTTTATTCGAAACAATCTTAAAATCTATTCCACTTTGTTGTAAAGATTTTAAGAATTCGTTCCATGTGACTTGTTTCGGATTAACTATATGATTAACTCGAATATAATCACCATCTTTAGCAAAAGGTGCACTTAAGGAGATATCGACGATACTTTGAGATGCGATATCAAGAGGAATCCAGTCAACATTTGAAGAATATGAATCTGGCATAATTTTCATAATTTGTGCACCTTTTATCATAAGTGGAATATGTTCTCGAGTATTCCAAACTCCCGTAACTGAATTTCCACTAACTTGTCCAACACGATGAATATCAAGTTTAAACCCAATTTTTCGCGACCATTCAGCACATACATTTTCAGTAATGAATTTTGATAAACCGTATCCATTAAGCATTGCATTTGAAATATTATGAGGTAATTCATCTTCTTTAACATTTGTCTTTGATCCAATGGTTGTACTGACACTTGATGTAAAATTAAAATGAACATTTTGATGATGAGTATATGCTTCACGGGCGAGCATAAGAAGATGAACAGTTCCAGCAATACTTTCACGTTCAAAAGCTTCAATTTTACTATTAAAATCCAATCTCTAAGCGACGTGGTAAATTTGTGTTACCTCTTGGACAAGTTTTGAATAAATTTTTTCGGGTTGCCCAAATTTCGATTACCCAAATCACTTGGCAAAATAACAATACGTTCTTTAGATAATAACGAAGTATCTAAATGACGTTGTTCAAATGAATCTTTTAATCGAGACCATCCATGATTTTCATCTGAAGCTCTCACCAAACAGTAAACTTTAAGCACATTTGGATTGTTTAATAAATCACGGAGAATAAAAGAGCCAAGAGATCCAGTAACCCCTGTCATAAGGACCGTTTCACCATTTTTTTCATTTACGTTTTCATTAATTTTATTAAAGTTACCCACGGGAGGAAATTTATCAGTTGTACTGTACTTCTGAATATATGAATTCACTTCGTTTTTAAGAGCCTGTAATTTTGCTTCGTAGCCATCTTCAACATTTTGACTTTGTGGAGAGCTGACATTTTTTAATAATTCTTTTGTCAAATAATGTGTAAGACTTTGGAATGTATTATATTCAAAAATCACATCATGAGGAAGGTTGATAACTTGAAATTGTTTTTGAAGAATAGCTCGCAATTTAGTCGCAGATAAAGAATCTAGACCAATAGCAAAAAATGAGGTTTCACCATCATCAGTTAGTGAAAATGAATCACCAATGGCTAATTTAAGGGAATCTAATACAATAGATTTTATAGAATCTTCATTCCATTGATTATTAGATGATTTATTATTTGAGACGATTTTTGCATTTACAAAATTATCATAAAGTATTTCAATTTCTTCTTTAAATTCTATTTCAACTTTTTTACGTTGAACATTATTTTTGAGAGTTCGGGGTATAGTTTTTCCTTCAAGAGGTAAGATATAAACCATTTCATCAAAGATTCGTGAATGTGATGGACAATCATTATTAGCTTGATGTATTGAATCAACGATACTTTTGGTGACATCTAATAAAGGAGTCATTTTGATATTTTCATAATCGAGTTCTATCAAAAGACAATTGAATGGTCTATTAAATCCAACAACTACTACTTGTTTAACAAATTGATTAAGACGAATTGTTTCTTCGATCGGAATTGGATTTGTCTTTTCCCCAGTACTATGAACAATTGTATCATCAGCTCGGCCAAGTAAAATATAAAAGCCGGAACCTTTTGGAGTTTCAAGAAAGAGATCCCCTACTTTATAATCACCATCCTCAGTATTTCCTTTAATGTTTGAAAGGGTTGGTGCTTCTTTTTTTATAATTAATTCTTTCGCGCCATCGATAAAATCATTTCTTTCTATCCATTTTACATAACTTTCTGATATTGCCAATTTCATTGCATTCCATGGGATATTAGGTAAAGAAGATTTATTAACTATACGTGAATCCATAATGACTCCTGTTTCAGTCGAACCATAAGCAGTTTGGATATTGACGCCGGATTGAACAAGTCGTTCACCTATTTGAGGTGACAATGCAGCTCCAGCATAATTAACAGATCTTAATTTTAATAAAGCTTTAACTTCTTCTGGGCGATTTTTATAAATTTGTTCAATAGTAGCGGGTAAGGTATTAAAAACACTAGCCTTAAATTGGTTTAAACTATGTAAAATTTCATTTACTAAAGGAACTGATCCTGAGACTATTGGAAATACATATACGGAACCAGGATTGAGAATAGTAGTCATAATGACAGTCATTCCAAATATATGAAATAATGGAGGGGTTGCTAAGACAATATCGTCAGCCTTATCTCTTGAATTAACAACCAAAAAATAACGATTAGTGAGAGGAACTAATTTAGGAAATGAAGTTGAGCCGGAACTATGAAAAATAGCAATAATTTTTTCATAAGGATTATCATCTAGTTTTAGAACAGGTGCTGAATGATCAATATTTTCATTCTTTAAATTGTTAGGAAGTTGAAAAATTTTAAGCGTTTGCGAATGTTGAGAACCTAATTCACTTTGCACATTTTTGGAGATTTTTGAAAGTTGAAAATCGTAAATGAGAATACTCGATTTAGCTTCCTGAAGTAAATGAATCAATGCAGGTTCGGAATTTTTAGGACTAAGGAATAAAACTGTGAAGCCTAATTTCCATAAAGCCATGAAATTATATAAGTATTCAGGGCCACTTTGTGATAAGTAACCGATCACGCAGTCTTTCTCCAAGGTTTCATTCTCCAATTGTTTACTCCAATAGTTAGCGTATTTATTGATAATAAGATCCAAGTCTTGAAATTTGATTTCTTCATACTCTGCACCATTTGGGACCAAAAGAGCTTTTTCTTTTGGTCTAGTTGATACAAGATGTTCAAAAACTTTTAATAAACTTTGGTGTCCATGAGACATTTTTGATTACAGGAATATAAGTTTATAGAGTTTGAGTTTATATAGTTTAAGTTATAGAGGCTTTGTTTATAAAATTTGAGTCGCGATATGGTTTTTTGTTCATACTTGCATTCGTGAAGCATGGTAATTTATAATATTTGCTAACGGGCCAAGGAAAATTTAAAAATCCGTTTACGTCGGCTTGAAGTTTCTTAAATGTCGAAAGATATGTAAAGTGATGAAATCAATAAATCCGGATAAATTATAGCCGAATCACATGTAAAGGTTCGGTTAAATTATGGCAGATCACCATGTCGCTGATATTTCCCAGTTTTCTAATCGGAAGTTTAATTTTTACCAATCCAAATTTTCCAAATTCTTCGGGTATACGGTATATGGAAATCGTTGTTCACACATTTTTATAACAATTTCTAAGAATAGGGGTATTTCACGCCCAATACCGTACGGATCTGGTCATACCAATCTGCCTAATTTAGAAATGTTCTTGACCTAATGTTGAATAAAAAGCTTAAATGAGGCGTGAACAGTCCATATTTAAACGCTTAGACCAATTAGACTAATAAATAATTGCTAAACTTAGAGATAGTGCATAAGTATTACGATTAATTGAAGCGATCCTTACTATAATGAAGATTTATGACGCGAATGCGGATAATAAATTTAGCCAAGTCCATAACAAAAAAAAAAAAGTGATTACAAACTTTTTTCATCGCGATAATTACCGGTTAAACTACTTTCCACCAATTAAACATCGAGTTCAGACTTAGATTTTGTTAGAGAAAAATTTAAACGAGAAATTAATTAATTAATTGATTGATTGATTGATTGGGTTCTACCCTAAAATCCCGAAAGACAGTTTCCCGAAAAAGACATAATACCGACAATAATGCTGGCCAATTAGTCCTTTCGGGAAAATGACTTTCGGGATTTCAGGGTAGAACCGTGAAAACCTGATTATATTACGAGGAGTTTTGTAGACCAATTTCAGCCTATCAAAGGTTTTTAGAGCTGTTAACGCTTGTATGGCTTCTTTAAATACTATATTACTTTAAAATTTCATTCTACGTAATAATATTTTATGCAATGCTACTGCAGTATAGTATCGGTATTATCTACCAGCTTGAGCCATGGCTCAAGTCGTGCTCTAGCCACGATATAAGTGGCTTTAATAACTGTGGCTTAATCTGGAGCTATCACTTTAAAAAGCCAATTCAGTTACAGCTGATGCTGAGCCATAGTTAAGCTGCAACTCTAAGCTATAGCTTGAGCTACAGCTCATCGGCTTTGGTCGTATTGGTTCTGAAGACTATCTGAAGACAGTTGACAACAAATCCATATTTGGTTAGTGTAATTCTGAAGAAAAAAAGCATTTGTCACTCGACCCCACATACAACAAACATGATTATGAAATACACATATGGGATCCCGTCTCGCTGCTCACATGGTCCACAGTCGGTCCCTAGCATCGGGTCTGTCTAAACAACCAATTTTTATCCCTTTTCTTTACACCCAGGCTGTTTGGCCAGGCATTAAAGCACTTATCCTTGATATCCAGGTTGTTCGCCCGAGCTATTGACCAATCTCATAGCTTTTCCTAAATCGCAGAAAACTGCCACTCATATGGTCTACAGCTGGTTCCTAATACTGATCTTAATATCCGAGCTGTTTGATCAGGTTATCAAAGTACTTATCTTAGACATCCAGGTTGTCAACCTGGGCTGTCAAAGTACTTATCTTGACATCCAGGTTGTCCACCCGGGCTATCAAAGTACTTATCTTTGACATCCGGGTTGTCCACCTGGGCTATCGATCATACCAATAACTACCAAATACCCTAATACAGAGCATTTCCTTTGCCTGGTAGTGGGTGGGTGGGTGTCAATAACAAAGCTAGACTTGCGTCAAGCTAGCAGCAAAAACAAAAAGAGAGAACGATTTCCCATACTTCTCTTAAATAATCATTTACTATGACTTCATACTTTATCAAATTGATATTTCTTATTCAATACATTATCCTTACAAAACATAGACGACATTTGTTACTAATATATCATACTTACCAACTGCAATCCTATGTCATGAGTCTAGGTCACAGTCTCGTGACAAGTGGATAACTTCGTTCATGGTATTCCAATTATCATCATTCACATTAATTAAGAATAAACCTGTTAAAGTTGAACATTTATTATGGTTAGAAAAATCTTATACTATGTATCATGTTATAGGTTTATTGGGCTTTATGGGTCAATCAACAAGACCCAAACCCTGACCAATTTGTAGCGGACCCAAAATTTATATCTGACCCAACCTGCAAATTTACAGGTTAAACCCAGCCTGTTTTGCACCCTATTAGCACGTTATAGCTATTTTCAATTTTGTTGAATTGATGATTTGCATAATTTTTTTTTAGTCCTAATTAAAATAAGAGATCACTTCAACTTTGTTATATTTTGCAGAACTCATTTTAGAATTCATATATTTCTCTTTTATTTGATAAATAATTTTCACAAAATGTGATAAATATAAAGTAGCTATCTAAACATAGCAGGCTTTTATTTGATTGGATAATTAACACAGATTGTTATATACAATATGTTTTACATAGTGGCATAATGTTTTACAGTTACAGAAATGGTTTGGCAGCTATAGATACAAATTGGCCTAACTCAATACTAAAAAATATCAAAAAAAGACTTTCTGGTCTATAAACTGTTAAAGTAATTTAATAATTCATGAAGTAATTCAGAAGTTAGATAAGAGATATATCTGAACATTTAAGTTTAACCTATAGATATAATAAGTTAATTAAACTCAACAATTTAAGCTGTCTTTTATCTGTGAAAACTTATTTTTTGTAATCTCAACTAATAAAGAAACCTGACTACAATATAGACCAATAATATAAAGCTGAGAGTCAGAGAAGTGTTAAAAAAAAGTACTGTGGTAATACTGTAACCTTATAATGATTATTAGATCAAATTAATTAGTTTGATATTAGAGTGAATATTAAAAGTTATTTTCGATTACTTTTTATTAGTTATTAGTGTTATAGGATAGGTTTAACAGGTTATTTTGTATTTTTTATTTTTTCTTGATTCATGGTATGTTAGGATTCTTTAATAAAATTTTGATTTGTTAGTGGCTTGTCTTATTTTGTTCATGACAATATTATAATTTTAAGTTTAAATTATTGAGATTTCATAGTAAAGACTTCCAGTATTAACTTAATCATAAATATAATTTATTTTTTACATACCGGTATTAGTTTTTTTTAAATTCATGATTTCGATATTACAATAATTTTCGATTAGCCAATAAAATTTTTATGATATCACGGGGTGCTTTACCAATGTTTGTTAAAAATTATGCAGATCATCGATCCAAAAATGAATACTGTAATTCATAAATTTTATTAATATTAGTCGAATATTTATTTCATTTATAAGAATTGCTAATTGTTTAAGTTCGATTTATCATTCCATAACTTCATTAGTTTCAATTTGTTTGCACTAAATAAATATGTAAAGCATTATATTTTCTAGTAATTAGGTTATTATTTGTACTATATACTAGTATTAGAGCTCATCGTTAAGGGTAGGGTATCGATTAAATTATGTACTATATACGAATATGGCAGAAAAAATGATGATCACTGATTTGTGTAA